CTGCTTGCAAGTTCAGACATGGTATCAGCCAATGCTTCCAGTTGGCGTGAACTCGCATAGTCAGACCAGCATTTGTTGTTTTCTTGAGCCTATCATCACCATGGCATTGAGGGCCTAGTTGTAACAAACTTTTCACCCCCATCATTGTTGTGGGTTTGTCGGCGGCCGTCTCTGTGTGTGACGATGAGGCATGTAGCTGGGGTACTCTCCCCGTGCCCGCGCTCCTCTCTTCGAACCGCCCTCCATCCCCTCTCGTTAATGCAGGAGTTGTACAAGGTGTACGTGAAAGAGCGGAAGAATTCCGTGGCCGTGGAGTTCTCGTACCCCAGTGAAAGATATCAGATCTCAAGACCGCGCGGGCAAGTCCTGTACTACATCGCCGGGTGGGCGGCCAGCAAGGCTTTGACGCATCAAGCAAGACACAATGTTTCCCAGGATTGGGTGCGTGTCGTCCAACACAACACTCGCCGGTCCAGTCGGGAGGCGATATTTACTAATGTCATGCCGAGAGATATCGATCAGAAGAACGACCTGAAGAACGGTCCAGGACTTCCCTACCCGACGATGGATTGGGTAGAGTCTGGGTATGCCGTGGAGAGGGGCATTTTCTGAAAAACCCTATCTTCCTTGCTGCTTGCCTTGGGGACTTGCCAGCCGAGATTTTCAAAGTTGTAAGCGAGGCGGAGGTCGTAAAGGAAATGCGGGGAAAATGCTGTCCACCTGGTCCTCCCGCCATCGACCCTAGTGTATCCCAGGAGATGTTTCTTTTCGAGTCGGGAAGATCCTTGAGTAAGGGCCAGATCATGGGTTCGGGTCCCGGCAGAGTGAGTTTTTTTTCTCACTAAATAAATCCTGGTCTAGGATGAAAGCGACGCGCTGCAAAGCTCGTTGTTAGTAAACTTAACCGACTTCATCAGTCGCGAGGGAAGGGATTGCTGTAACCCTTCTCGCGATAAAAATACCTCAGACAGGAACCGCAGGAGGGGGTCAAGCCCCCCACCTCCTATGTGACCCCGGTTGGGTCGTCTAGCTAGTAGAAGTGGAGGATAGGGACCAGAGGGGCAGACGACAGAGTCCAATCATGGGAGATAAAACATAAAAAACAAAAAAAAACACTCTTCCGCGGAAGGCGCCATTGGTACACCGTACAGCGCATACATTGGTACAGCAGTGGGCACAGTTTTAACGGGACTGTCGTCATTCGTAAGCAACATCAAAATTACCACAGAACCGCGGTGCACAGCCATCGAACCACGCATGCATGCTGTGCAGCCCCCGAAATGTTCCACAGCGTTTGGAAGAGGCAGGTGCGGGAATGCTGACAAACTGGACCGCACGCAAGACAACGAGCAACGAACGCGATGAATGACGCGTGCTGCACATGCATACACGTTCCCGGTCTGGCACTGCTGTGACATGTGACATGCATGTGACGGTGTGTGTTTTTCCTAACGTGACATGGCATCCAGAAAAACCTTTGGTACCACGTCGCAAGAGCGCAAGGGAACGTATGCATTTGGTCAAGGGCACGAATCCGAAAGTCTGCATGCCCAAACGAAGATACGAATTGTTTAATTAAGAGGATGCCCCGTTCTACATACCCACGGACGTGGAACCTCTGAAGTTTTCAATTTTCTCGTTGGACGTGAACGAACGTACCGCATACAAGGAGGTGTACAGTAGTAGTTCTTCGTCATCAGTGCTTCAACGAGAAAAATAACTGCCGGTTAAACCTGCGCACGAACGGAGACACATGATCAACACACCCAAACCAGGTTTTTTCTTGTTCATGCATAGCACCACTGCTATCGCAACACTATTTTTGTCTTAATTCATGAAGGGGAGGGTTATCTGAACCCTTCTCGCGATGAAAAAATAAAATTAAGGCAAGCGCCGCAGGGGGGGAGGTGGGGAATTCATGTATCAAAACGAAACAAGAGAAAAGGCTCCTTCCTGTGTGGCCTTCTTGTGTGACCCCGGCTGATACGTAAGGTATATATACACCGAAAGGCCTGTACGCCGGTACCAGAATTCATAGGACGCACACACCCACCCACCCCCCATGGACCCCGCTCACATGGTCCAAGTGCACGGCTTTTAGAAGTGTTGGGTGTTTTCAACCGCACTGAGACTGACGTCTTTTCATTGATCAGCCGGTTAGCGCGGTCGATCCTAACGATAAACACACATTCACGAAGTACGTGGAAGTACAACGAATCCATCTACTACATTGTATATCCACAGATGAAGAGTCCGGGACAAATTAGCAATGAATCCACATGGATAGCGGGAGCACGACCTGTTTCTCCTTAGGAGTGAGGCTTCAGTATCACAACTCACATCACAGGTACTCGTTTTGCGTCTATTGTTACAAATTTCCAACGCTAGTTCGTCACGGGGTGTTTGATAACTCGCGTCCTACTCCAAGTGCTTCTTCTTACACATTCCGAAACATCGGAAAATCGTGGAAGCAAAACAATCAGCGTGTAGGACGTTCTAAATGTTGCTACCACCTCTATGTAAAAAATCATCCCTCTCCAGATGTCTCTACGACAAGGGTACTGGGCGCGCACTACGGCGCGACACTTCAACTTCCACAGGTACAGGGCTTTTACCCAAAAAAATTGATTGCCCGTGGCTACCGCACAATGTAGGGTGCAGGGTCCTCGCCGGCACGAGCAGCTCGTTGTCTTTCTCGTATCAAGCAACGCATGTCTTGGATAGAGGTGAGGACTAGCCCGTGTTCTGCGCAGAATTCTTTGAGTTCAGGCACCCTGAAAAGAATTCAACACGCACGGGGGCAAAATAAGAGGGCAACAAAACAGAAGTGAATATTTGCAACGTCAGCAAGCTTTTCGCTAGTATAGCATAGACGTGGGTCTTGGGTTACGAGGGAGGGATATCAAGCTACCTCTACCATCGTGGCATGGCTCAAAACAAGCAAGCGAAACATAACTACCAACATGATATGTGCCATGAATATACGTTCTGGAAACTGCTTCTCCAACGAGACACCAAAACAAAATATACTATTTTTTACTTATTTGCATATAACTGAAATAAAGCACAAAAAAAAAATGGGAAGGGTTTTCAATCAGCAACTTGGAACAATACCAATCACTGAACCAAGTGACGGATCACCCAACACACCTTGCCATGTCTTTCCCATCCTTGGTTGTGATCTCACATAGCACGCCAACCGGTGATAAGCCCGCTAGGGTTGCCAGGTCAACAGCCGCCTCTGTGTGCCCCCCCCGCTCAAGTACGCCTCCAGGCTGAATGCAACGGTCACGCGAACACGCCAGAGCGGATGGCACACGTAAGCAAGAATGGATCCACGCTGCGCCATTTCGCAACAGAAAAACGACATGGCACTAATGTCATCTTACATACAGAATGCCAAACCTTCTCGAGTTAACATACCCGGCAGCAGAGCCTACCAAGAGGGGCGAGTAAACACGGCAAACGCACATAAAGAGAATAGTAACGAACTGAGACTCACCGTGTATCGGAGGGGAAAGATATGACCTGGCCGGTTGAAGTCTTGTGGTCCAGCCTGCAAAAAAAAAACAAGTTAGAGGGTCGGGATGGGACTAGCTAAAAACCCTCATAGGCTTGACCGAGATGATGGAACGAGGGCAAGCTGCGGCGATACGGATGGAAGGAGACGCATACTTGAAATAAATCACGTAGTTGTAGTGCAATGGGAACAGGGAGAACACAAAGAACGCAAAACACATACCACAGTGTAGTGAAGTGTCGTTAAACCTAGCCACGACATATGCACCTTAATCGAAATTCTGCTTGAGCAAAAGCGTGAAACACGACCGCTGACTACATTGACCTTGGTGCGGTGCAATAACAGTACCTCCGGATCGGCCAATGCACGGAGTGTGGTGGCCCGGTCGCCTGCGCTGATTCCAGTGCTCGTGCCAAATTTGGCGTCAACCGTAATCGCGAAGGCCGTCATTTTAGGGTCTTCATTGTTTTCCACCATCTGAGGCAAACGCAATTCCTGCCCAGGAAAAAGTCACCATGTTGGGAATTAGAGCAATGCGGAGTGCTGGACCAGCAAATGCTTGTACGGAAGTACTCATGGCAAGCGGAGGCACGCAACGGTCTTCAAAACATCAGACCACCGATGGGGCTTTGCCTTCATGCACTCTAAACAAGAGAGGGGCATGCAACCGCACGTACCAAACTGCTGTGACTCAAGGTAAGTGGAGAACGACCACCCAGAAGTGTAGAGCACACAAACACAGCAGTTGTCCTCATCTAAGCGTGAACACCATCACTGAAGCCACGTACACACCTGAAGCCGCCTGGCTCCAAGCGAGGCACAAATAACACCGCTGGTGTGACGTATTGTGAAAGCCAGCAAATCTTCAGTGGCCTGGGTGCAGAAGACGAACAACCATGAAACACAGCAAAGGCTGGGATTGTCAGCGACACAGCTGGTGCATGCCTACACGGAAATGATGATTTTGTGAACCACGCCCAGCGCTTCGTTTAGCCACTATTCTTCTTGTTGTCTTAACAACGGTAGCCGCTCCGATCTCTGCTGGGTACCTTCGAACATCCATGTTGGTCACTCAACTGGCTTAAATACTCAAAATAAGCGACATTTTACGATAACAAAAGAGAAACGAAAGGACCCAGAAAATCATCACAAATAATTATCATCGACATTGTCAAGCGTAACATATCTGCGGCTTCGCGTGCAGTTACAGGATTGCAATAAAGGGGTGACGCGCCCGACAACAGCAGGCGGTGCACAACTTTGTGAGGGGTAGATATAGAGCGCAAAAGACCAAGAGGGGGGAGTTTGAGAACGTCGCTACAGGTGTCTGTACAATCATAAGAGGTTTAACGGTCAGGAAGCTCGGCCATTCATAATGATCTATCGCGTCAGTTGCATGGGTACGCAGAAAAAGGTTGGGAGTCATTTGCGACATAAGTACGACGCAAGTCAGGATCACTCTTCAGTCTACATGTTCACCTTTTCCGCTGCGAACACGAGATCGCCCTCGTTCTCCCTCCCTTCATCATCCGTTACAACAACGCATTTCCCTGACCTCACAGCCTCAATGGCTGCCAGGACTGAGTCCCGTCCAAAGGCGTACCCTTCCTCGTCCGGCTCCGCCTCCTCGCTTCCCCTCGTGCTTTCCTGATCATGGCAGCAAGAGAAAGTGGGGTAGGGGGCGGCAAGCATCAGAACACATTCGAAGGACGGTGGCAGTTCGCCACCGTATTTGGGTTGCCGAAAGTGAACCTTGCCCAACATCTGTCTCTCCCAGCGTGGCAAAAGAAGTAGGCCCCGCAAGTTGTTAGTCCATCCGAGACGTTTCAAGACGTTCAAGCTGAACGCCGAAAGTAGTCACTGGTATCACGCAACCCACCGCGATCCCCCCAAGGTAGCAATGATTTGCTCTACAAGACCGATACGCCGGTTTAACTAGTAGCATCGTGACAGTCCTGGAGATACTTACCCCACCCCGAATCGCCCCAACCTCGTTCAGCGGAAGAGCCACCGGCGCGGTGGCGCCACCCGACGGCGATTCACTCAGAATCTGATCGTTAATGCGGTGGTTCCGAGGGCAGAAAACGAACGATGAGGCACACCGCTTCTAGGCACACTGCTTCTACCATGCACCCATACATTTCTGGTGTCTGGGACAAGATATCGCAAAAAAATCGAAAACATCCAGCTGCGGCAAGGTTGGGGAGGGCAGAGATGCACCGACGTTGATCAGGCCTACCATCAGTTGACAATACTACAACAGCACACGCTTCGGCGCACCTCAACGTCATCCAGTTGATGAAGAACGTGGCTCATGCGGTGCGCCTTTGCCCGAAGGTATGCTAGGCTGTGCACATTAGGAGGGACCAGCATGGGGATGCGGCTGAGAACCTTGATTCCCATCGATTTCAGGCACTTGAGCTTGAAAGGATTGTTCGTCATCAACTTGATGCTCTAGATTGAACGTTGAAGAAGCGGGGCAAGGAGGGAAGGGTTGGCAGTAGAGTTGGCGGGAGGGTGGCGGTCCATCTGTGCTATTCATATCGCTTTGTTCGTCATGCCCTTTCAACAGCGGACTTGCTATCGTACTCGGACGCTTGCGAATGCGCATGCCGCAGTCACCTTAGGGCGGCTTCTCTTGGGGACGCGCCTACAACCAACAGTCGAGATGAAAAACGTAAAACTTCGCGTGCGAAATGTGTTACGGTTGGCCAAGGAATTCTCAAGCTGAAAACACGCACCTGAATGCAGAAGCTCCCAAAATTGTTTCGAGGTCCCAACCACACCACGTGCTTTCCCACAGCTGATTATACTGTTCTCAATAACACTTAATAGGTACGGCAGTAACATGTTTACACCACGCAACCCTGCAGACCCTCAAAGCAACTCCACACCTTGATACCCATGTCGGCCAGAATGTGCTCGACGGCCTCATACGAGCGTAGATCATCGTCGAACCCGAGGTGTCGGTTAGCGTCCACAGTATCCAAGCCGCCGTCCTGAAGGGCATACGCCGCAACCTTGTTGGCGAGGCCGATGCCCCTACCCTCCTGTCGTAGATTGCCACATGGAAACATTCACGCATGAGTCAACGTAAGATGCATTAATGATAGGAACAAAGGCCTACAGAAAGCAGGCTGTGGCAAGACAATAGAAGCCCAATGCAAGCACGCGAGTGGTTTTGGCGCATGTGATGCTGCGGGATCTCGCCACCTACCTGTTGCATGTAGATCACGCAACCACCATGCTCCGAAATATAGTCCAGTGCAAGCTCGAGTTGTTCCTTGCAGTCGCATCGAAGTGAACCCAGCACCTCAGACGTCAGACATTGGTCATGAACTCGGACGGGCACCCCTTCCAAGTCCTGAAGGTCTCCCTGGAGCAGGCGGGAGTATCAATGAAGCCGCCGCAAGGACAAATACGGTCAGGACGATTTGTGAACAACAACTCCAAGCTCACACCAAATGCACGTCCGGCTTCTTTCTTATTGCGATCAGCACGAGAGAAGCTTTCTACTACATATCTTTAGCAGATGAGGCTTTCTCCGTCTTGGAGATTTAGCTGTCTGCTGCTGTTGCTACATCGGTACAAAAACCACACCGCCTCCATCTAGAGTCTCCCCCTTCCCGTACGCTTCTAGGAAAAAATAGTCACACGCTAATCCACAAGGAGGTTTAAAACGCAAGCTTGTGTCTGAATATACAAAATACGAAAGGATGTTTACACCTCTTGATGACACCAGCCAAAACTTACCGCCACCATGACCACTGGCTCCATCGACCGACCGTGTCCTTCGTGCCTGTACGATCTCAGCCGAAATTTCCCCCGGGGAGTAGGCAAGAGGCACTCCGACACATACTGTGTGCTGGTGGTGTCCTCCGCGTTTGCAGACTTTAACCCTGCACCCATGTGGTTCTCCAACGAACGCGGGCCCTTCGATCGCTCAGCACGCACAGAGGAGCCCTCCTGGGCGAAATGGAAGTTGGTTTGGAAACAGAACGCGCAAAACCGGGGCACAACGAAGGGTGTGTAGTGTCGATTTTCAGTCTCAAAGCACGTCTGCTACCGGGGCGATGAAACCCAACAAACACGGAGTTCTCAGCGTCCTTCACTCTATGTTGGGCATAGTTATCACTGCTGTTTCTGACGGCATTGTGGTTTACCCGACTAAGCCTGCTCGGACGCGTAAGAAAAATAGCTGGAAACCAATTGTACGAAGAACGTGACATAAACAAAAATCGTGTCCAAGTCGTTTGAACCGGGGGGGGGGGGGGGGGGGGGGGGGGGGGGGGGGGGGGGGCAGGCGTTTGTGCGAGAGCCGACCGGGTCAGCCGCTGCTGTGGCCTGCCAGCAGAGTGTTGCGGATAATGCACATCAGCAGGGGGATAACCAGATTTCCCGACTAGAACCTGAACAAATCGGAGACTATTAGAGTACAGTTAACGCAACATAACACCCGGTAAACACACGGGATGGACCGGGACGCCTTTGACTGGGGGGCGGCTGTTTTGTTGTCAGAACTGTTCTTTTTGGCCCGATAGGAGGCTGCCCAGTTTTGAATACCATGTGTGGTTGTTTATGGTTATGATTAGCTGACAACATGTCGTTGGCCCTGCCACGTGCGGGTGGCTCTAGCGTACACGCCATTATCTGTACAGTAGAGGTCCCTGTTTAAGGCCGCAAATTTAAGGCCGGTGGCCCTTTTTAAGGCCGATGGAATCGTCTTGTCACACTTGCCTTCCTTTTGAAGGCCGCACAGGCCTTAAAAAGGCATAGTCCCTATTTAAGGCCGATTAGGGCGTCCGCGCACCCTATATAAGGCCGGTTTTGGTATGACGCACCCACTTCTTCCGCAGCATTATACAAGCCGCAACACAACCACTCCAGAGATCTACATAACAGCAATACCTAGCGTATCCCTACCGACCCAACCAGTAAGGGCACACACGCCTTGTGCGGCTGGTGAGCTGTGCCAACTGCCAGACCAGACGCCGGTAGCCCCTCACGGCCACCAATGTCACGGAGGGTGTGGCGGCAGACTGCACGGACTGTGTGGGGAACAAGACCAAAATGCGGAGTGCGTCTACTTTGCATGCATTGCCTCCAAGCAAAAGGGTAGTAATGCCTCGACAGCTGGCAAGGGCAAGCGCAAAGGGTCAGCCATGGAGAGCGGAGACACGGCAAGACAAAAAAAAACGAAACCAGCCAACCACCCGGACATGACTGGTTCGCGCACGCGGATGGACATCGGCACCAAGATGGAGATCCTCCGTCTGCTGGACAAGGGCACGCGGACGCAGAAGTCGATCGCAGAGCAGTTCAACTGCGGGGAGCGCACGGTGCGTACCGTCAAGGCCGAGCGGGCGAAGATAGAGAATCAGGCCGCCAAAACTCGCAGCAGCGCCACCACCAGGAAGAACCTTCGGGCGGGGGATCTCCCAGAGGAGAGCTCGGACGACGAAGCGAGCGAGGAACCCTCAAGTCAAATGGCACCTCCGCCGTACGCGGCACTTTCGTCGCACTTCGGGGCTCTGAAGACGGCAGCGGAGGGGAGCGGCAACCGTGACGCCGCTTTCCATCTACAGAAGGCCAAAATGGCAATGATCGCAGCGCATGGTTCGAAGGCAGCGAGGCAGACAGACATGAAGCAACTTTTGTAGAGTCGATAGGCGCATGGGGGGAGGCGTCAGTTGAGTGGTTCTCCCGGGTCCGGTGTCGTGTCCGGTTTCATCCTTGTATTTCGCACGTACCATGTGAACTACATATTTTTGTGGACGTCAGCTACTACGGCAGCAAGTAATATTTGGAAGCATGCAACATTATTTTTTGTCACGATGTGTAACGTGCATCCTGCGAGCCTTCAGACACGTTGGGGCCCGCCACCTTCCCGAAAGGCTTGAGTGCAGCATCAGTATTCCTCTTTAAGGCCGGTACCGGCCTTAAACAAGACCCGTTTCCAATAAGGCCGGGTGCCCTCTTTAAGGCCGGTCATTTCGTCTGTCACAGGGCGGCCTTAAACAGGGACCCCTCCTGTACCAACCTTTTTGTCCAGTTGTACTTCCCTTCTTCCTCTCGTTGCCTCGGCAAGGTTTTGCTTAGGCATGACCCATAGCGAGGGGGGAGGTCTTTCTAGCGAGCAGGGCTAGACTCGCCCTCAAGGGACAGATACCTTCTTGCTGCGGCGCACCCGCCGCGAGGCGTGCGTAGTGGTGGAGTTGGGTCGGCACTGGTGCGTCAGGTACAAAGGTGCAGATGCGCGGGCCTCCAGGCCGTCGGTGTAGGCAGCAATGCCCATGTCATCTTCGTGCGCGGAGGCAGACGCCATCAGGAAGGTGGACGGGCATTTTGTATACGGCCCTAGGTTTGCTAGAGGGAGCTGTACTGTCTCAGTAACCTGGTTTTGCCATCAAAGGAGGAGGGGACAGGTGGTGACGAGCTGGCTGGACTGATTGACCCTTCGACGCGAGAATTTTCAGACCAAGAACCCTAAGTGCAACGAGGGAAAAAGCGAGGAACCGGCTGGAGGGACAGCAACGAGAGCGTGTACGAAGCGGAGCGGGTCGAGTTTGGTCGTTGTAGGACTGGCCACAGCGGCACCGGATAAGCGGCACCGGAGCAGCGGCACCGGAGCATGCGGGCGGCATCGAACCGTGACGCACGGACAAACATCTCTTGTGTTGTCAATTCTTTCCCGTTTTTTTCCTGAATATAGCTGTATGGTGTGTGTGATGATGTCACTGGTTTTGTAGAGAGACGCGGCAGAGATGACGCGGATAACCCTGGTGTCTTAATCGTGCACCTGCATCGTGGAAGACCCCTTCAGTGTGGAACGATTCCTAGTCAAGGTCGATGTTTACACTACTGTGTCTGACACATATGATCTGAATAGATTCGGGTGATTGTCAATTGCAATGATGGCTTTGGTTGATTGTTCTTCTCCATTGTATGTCCACGAACTCATTCTGACAGCACTTCAGACAGCAGCTGCATGCCCCGAGCGTATANGTAGAGAGACGCGGCAGAGATGACGCGGATAACCCTGGTGTCTTAATCGTGCACCTGCATCGTGGAAGACCCCTTCAGTGTGGAACGATTCCTAGTCAAGGTCGATGTTTACACTACTGTGTCTGACACATATGATCTGAATAGATTCGGGTGATTGTCAATTGCAATGATGGCTTTGGTTGATTGTTCTTCTCCATTGTATGTCCACGAACTCATTCTGACAGCACTTCAGACAGCAGTACGCTGTAGTCGACATTCATTTTGGTTGAGCGCGGGACAAGGGGGGTGACGCTGCTGCTGTAGTCGAAGTGCAGTGAGTGGGCGTGTAGTTCAGTTGTGAGCACGCAAGCAGGAAAAAATTGTAGGTGTACCTCCTCGGGCTTGTGTACCTTTGTCTTGCTAATAGTGTGCGTGTTCTTTAGATATTTTGATGGCTCTAGCAATTTTGTGACCACGGACCGAGTCCTTGCTAGCTTTTGGGATTAGCAACTGACACGAGTTTCATGTGAAGAAAACAACGACAACAATAACAACAACAACAACCGTAATCCTATGATGATGCGCATGGTGCAAACGGAACTGCTGTGTCCAATTCGAATGCAACCACCAAGTTTGCTTGACGTTTCCCCTCCTGACTTACGACTTTCCACCTTCCTCTCCCAGACCACTCTACACGTGCCCCACGAGAAAATTCGTATTTCATACGAGTCGTGCTTATTGCACTAAGTCCAGGCAGTCTGCACGCGCGCTGTCGAGAGTGGAACCCGGAGATATCCATCGGACTCTTTCAAGGCACATATGGTACAGCAACAGGCAGATTTGATGTGATTTTCATGTTGAGATTTATCAGCGCGACGAGTATCATCGGTATTGTCTGTCGGAGGCTGCTTTCTTGTTATAATGGGTTGCCGCGGGATGGAATGACATCTGGCTGATTTTACGTTTGAACGATCAACCCAACGGCGGACATGGTGTAGAAACAGACAGGTGCGGTGAAAAAAGGGGGTGACCCTAGAGAAATTTGTCGTTTACCGTTGTGGTGTTGTTGTCCCACAACAGTCGTCCTGGTCGCTGCTCAGTCAGTCCCTTCTAACGGATGGCTTCCGTGGCCACAGGCCAGTACCAAAAGGTATATACATGCATATGGCGGCAAAATGAACTTGTGCAGAGGATATTACCCCAAAAGGGAACAATTATTATCAGAGACATGGCTTCGAAGAAACCGGATCGCCATAGGCGATGGTGATCACTGCATACCTTTAAGTATGTAACAGATGTGCAGCAGTATCTCCCCGACAGCAGTATCGTCTGATACCGGGATACTTATGGACACCTCCCCAACAGGCCAAGTCAGGAATTGCAAAAAAAAATGGTACTCAAATGTTTTTGTCGTCTGATTCTGGTAGGGGTGTGCGGAAATATTTGTTGTCGCAGGTTTCGATGAATTTCAAACTTTCAACGAATCGCAGCCCACCGGCGCACTGCATGTGCCTACAGAGTTGTAGCGGAAGGCTAAGCTAACTCGATCTTTGAATGGATTGCCCATGCTGCATGCGCATGCCACATCGGCTGGTGCGATTGCTGCCAGCGGACCCGCAGACAATAATATTGAGTCCGAACGTTTCTCGGAGAGAAGAAAAGGAAGACAGCAAGCCGGTGGGGAGCGCAACAGCGCGCATGCTGGCACACACGGATGGCGAAAAAATCTCTTCGCATCTCTGCATTGCCCGTGCTGCGTTTATGTAAACCCGTGTGATGCTGCTGTAGGCTGGGAACCTTACAGCTTCACTTTCTTTTGACAGACAACCCAGACGGAACAGGCTTGACCTCACTGTGTCTGTCGTTGCGTTGCTTTTGTTCATTCAGCGCAGTTCACGTAAGCGAAAGGCGGGTGGTTTCTGTTTTGTTCTCTCGGGCATGGAAACATGCACAGCGGAAGTGACACGGCCAAATCCTTCCTCCCTGACGCACAACAGCGGTGTGACTCAACCTGCAACCTGAAGTACATTAATACATTCCCCCCTTGAAGAGCACCCCCGCCCCCCGGTGTTTACCATCGGGGTTGGGTTTTCGTCGCTTGGCAACGACGTTGT